ATGGATGTGATTTGAGGGGTGTTAAAAAGTTTCAGAGAGATACGAGTCTGAACGCGAAGACGATAGGTGTAAAAAGAAGACAAAAATTTGCTGGAAGGCAGCGTCCATAAATTATGTAACGCGTATAGGGGGAGATGAGGTCACCTATATCGTTACGAATTATTACATAGGGGAGGAGGAGTAATGATTGTAATGTTAAAAGGTAAAAAAATTCATCACTAAATCTTGCTTGCAAAATGTGTATGTTTTAATTTTATATCTTGAGATTTTTGGTATTCATGAACTTTTGAAAAGCAGGTACGCTGATCTTTTGTTTTTATTTTGAAAATTAATAATATTAATAATAACGAAATCAAAAATTAGTTAAATTGTGGCTTTCAGAGCGTCACGGAATAAATAGATGATGATCCCTATCATTTCAGTGTTACGTTTTATTCCGAAGGGTGGGGGGTGGTCGATCATATTTATTTTTAGCGTAACGTCATTAATGGTCACCGCCCAGCAATATTAACCAAAGCTCATATCTCAAGTGCAGAAAACGGTTCCGATGGATCACTAGGATCCGGTTATTATTCCCAGCTGTATTTGGACGGGAGTTTGATTCTCAATATTCTCGAACAGAAACTCCATCAGCCGGTGAGTGTCTTCCTTCGCCATTAGGTCTTTCTTCTCCGAACCCTTGACCAACAGCAGCGACAAGTACAACTTAGGCCGAGTGGAAAAAATGACCTGAATTCCTTTTCCATCTGTTTGTCGTATGGCGGTTTGATTGGTGATGCTTTACCCGGGCCTAGAATCAGAAGTTCAACGAAATCAACAATTGCTTCGTGCCTGTTCGGCAACTTCCATGCTACAACAAAGAGACACATGGGCTCTTATCCGTCTAATTCGATCGGTTTGAGTCCAGGAAATGGATAGGCGTTGCTGTCTTTTCCGTGATGCACTTGATGTTTTTGCCCCCGCGACCGATTATGGCCAACTGACATACGTGGTGTTTGTTGTGGGGTTGTTGAAAACTGACAGTAACTGGCAGAGTGCTTCGCGGTCTACCTCAAAATTTCGAAAAACTGCACGGCTTGCTTGACAAGTTGTGTGCATACAGAAGGGATAAGTTGGGAATAGAAAGAATAGATAGGATGGATTGAAATTTTTCGCACGTCGAAAATTTTATGAGAGGTTTGGGTAAAAATAGGACAATCCTGAAGTGTCGTTCCCCCTGTTTTAATTTTTTTTTTGATAAACATTGCATGGAAATGGTCACTCTAATGACACAATAAAAAATACAAGTCTAATATTTTTTCGATAAGGAACTAAACTATCGATGTTAATGAAATTCTGATAACCACTATATCGTTTTGCTAGGTAAATCTCACATAAATTTCGTATCCAAATATACAGACATTTTGAGAGAATTATCAGGACCTGATTTAGAATACCACACAGTTCGAAAAAGTAGTGTAAATTGCAGTTCAATATGATGCACATAAATGGAACATCACATATCATATACGTTTACATTATATATCAGGTAAAGTTCTGACACATTTCATGCAATGTAGCCAATATTGTATGCAAAAGCCGATCTTTGTAAACAACATTGTTGGCAAGTTGGTCGGTTGCGTGAAATGAAATACAAGTCTACGTGATTGAATGTTTACATCACAATTAAAATTCAGAAGTTTTATCTGTGCAGGCTCAATGCTGGAGTAAAATCGATATATTGTATAGATACAGATATTGAGCTCGTCGATACAACTCTGTTCTATGTTTTAATTTTTACGTAGGATTACGTCTTTCGGGGTGAATATTGGGGGTGAAAATAAAAAAAATATCTACCGCGTTACGAAAAGTGGCCAGCTTTTAACCACTTATAATTATGTCAATAGTGGATGAATTTTATTTCTAAACTAGCCAAACGATTGGAAATTTTTCTACGAATCTGCTAAAATGAACAATTTTTCAATTTCCAATAGGTTACTGTTGTAAACTACACAAATGTCCAACTGTTGGCATTGCCTCCAAAAAGGGCTTTCCCTAGCACAGATTTCAAAATCGAAATCCATCCGGTCTCACCAACCGGTGCTTATTCAATCACAATGTGTGGTGGTTTCCGGTCGGTCGTTATCAGCAGCAGCACACACTTAGATTATCACCCCTATTCTGTATTTCGTTTCGAACGAAATTCTCATACAAAAAAATATTTTTTTGTATGAGAATTTCGTTCGAAACGAAATACAGAATAGGGGTGTATTTTGCCGCGATGGGCACCACCGAGAGCAGCTCGTCATTTTATTTTGCTGGATCTCAGTGAAAAATTTGCCAAGATTTATGTTTGATAGCTCGGCAAAATTCCCGTTTGTTAACTGAATCTCGGCAAGTTTTCCACTGAGATCCAGCAAAATAAAGAGCCGAGCTGCTCAGTGGTGCAAATCTCGGCAAAAAATCTAAGTGTGCAGTGTTTTCGGCGCGTGGCGACACTGATAGCACCTTTGCTACTTTGTAATGAAAATTTGCTCCTGAAGTATAAGCTTAATACCCTAAAAAGTGATCATTACGAAGGCTAATGTACTTAAAGAATACATTATTTCAAAACTATGCCCAAGGGGCCTTCCTTAGCTCAGTCGGTAAAGGCACAGCTACAAAGCAAGACCATGCTGGAGTGGAGGTTGATGGGTTCGATTCCCGGTCCGGTCTAGGATTTTTTTGGATTGGAAAATCTCTCGACATCTTTGTATGATTGTACTTACCACACAATTCTTGCGTCACCTTTCAAATAGACCAATCCACACTGATCGATTCTTTTCATCGACCCTAATAAAAAGGCAAAAATCGTCAAATAGTAAGAAGATTTATGTCATTGATGTCGGCTCAGAACCTTATATTTCAACAGATTCATGTTTGACGTTTGACGAGAAAATCGTAAATTGAGTGCCGAAGCTCGTAATCGAGTTCCAAAATATCGCACCCCCACGTAAACCAATTCAACTATCTAAAAGCTTTGCAGATGTATTTTCAATTTCCGTCCAGACTGATGCATCCCACCAGCGGCAGCAACAGCAGCTTAGCATCCTAGCATCCAGTTCAATAATCTACGACCCCAACGCCGAATTGGATGAAAGCGAAAATTTTGTTTACGAATTTAAACCAAAAGCCATCCACCGCCACCATCCTGCCCACCAGACGGCACAGACTGGGACGGTGGCGGCGACGACGACGATGTCGAGACATATTTGGATCCATTTCGAATTTTGCCATCACCACACCGCCGGCCTAGAGTCTAGAGGGCCAGGTTCAGAAAACAGTTGCACCATCCAATTGCAATCCGAACCGAAGGATACAATTTGTGTGATCCTCCCCTTCTACGCCCACAATCCCCACCCGATTGCACTATCAGTGCGGGCTGAAGCTGTCCTATTCCCAGCGTTTCTGGGAATCACCGAAACAGTCGTGAGCCCCATGCCTGGGTTGTGTGTGCCGGTGTGAGTGTATAAATAAATTATTAACGCCCATGGGACTAATCAAACTGACGCGTCAATTTTCATTTAATGTGCAGCAAATTAGAGTTTATCAAATGGAATTGACAAATGGGCAGTGAAACGACAGTGGGACTGTCCTGCTAAGGGAGGACGAGAGGAGCGAGTGTGTTGTTTTGCTCGTTTCCTCCGAATTGTGTATTTTCCGTAGGTGCAGTGGTAAATGGAGGCGTCACTATAAATTTGCATTCAATTTTAATTAAAGCATCAGTGAGCATTCGAAGAAACGATACAAAAGTTACACCGATACCGTGGCGAAAGAAGGGAAAATCGATACCCGTTAAAATATAGTCAAACGCCATTCAACAGTATGTACAGAGGCGCTCCTCTATAGCTTTCTTCGGGAAAACATTGGTAAAGACCTCTTCTCCATTGCCAAAAAGGTGTATAATTTATAGGATTTTCTCCAAACAACCACACAGCTCCGTTGCAATTTCGATTCCAAATGTCCGGTGACGTAGAAAGGAATCGACGATTGAGCCTGACGAATGAAGGCGGCTTTTTCAATTCCCGATACTCAAACTTCCGAGGACACCCCTTCGCGAAAGCCCTTGCTCCATCGCAACCCACACCCGTCGTGGCTTGAAATAGCAATCGAAACGTTCTCCATTTTCCCGCATTTCCACGCTCCACCCCCGGACCGGCCAGCGAGTTTGGGATCCCACTGGGACCGGAATCGACACGTTCGACGTCCCTTTCCATCTCGAGCACCGCTAGCGCCGCACCACCGACCGCTTCCTCCGCTGCAGTGAAATATTAAATTATTATGCAAAACACTGTATTCTTTTCCCTGCACACTTCGTCCCGAAGACAAGGTAAAAGTTTCATACCGTTGGCACTCACCTTTGCTGCTGCCACAAGAGGAAGAACTTTGGTTTATAAACTGGTTATTATTTATAGTTTTGCACAAGATTTATTGCACTCTTCGTGGCTTTTGCTAGCAAACACTTTCCCTCCAGCCATTTCATTTCGAAAATCGAAGACAACCGAGAACAATGCAGCTTTCGAAAGATTTCCCACCGCACAATTCTTCCTCGCTGGAACGAAACGACCAGGCAAGCCACATTAATTTTCAAAATCCCTAACCTCAAAAGACCTTCTATTAATTATAGGCACTTCACAAGTCACTCCTCCGAGCCTCCGCAACTCCCAGAGCGCTCTCACGCCGCCTAATGCGAAACATAGCACTTACATCACCCAAACACGATAATAGACCATGATAACACACTTCCGTTCCTATTTGCTTCTCCTCTCTACGGCGAACCGTAGCACCGTCTAGCAGTCCCACGGGACGAAGCGAGAGCCGAGAGTCCGGCCAACCCCCCGAAACAGGAAGTAATTTTCCCCATTAATAAATCATCGCCGGTTCATTCTTCTAGCGCCTCCCTCACCCGACCGAACCAACATGGAAGGATGGAATTTTCTCTTTACGTTCAAGAAGGATCAACACTCGGCCTCGGCTTTCGACGCAATGTGCCTTCATGTATTTCGGGCTATCGACTTGGCGTACGGATACACGGTTTTGTCTATCGAGATGTACAGCGGTCCCAGGGCTCGTTTGCTGCAGATAGAAAATTTGCAAATTATAAACTCACATTCGTTCCGCCTCCGAGAGGGCAACTTACTTGTTGAACAGGCCAAAGTCCGATCGGGTGTTGTTGGTGCATTCACCTCGCCGGTAGTTTTGGTACGAGTTGCAGTTGGTGCCCTCGAAGATGTTGACGCGGTTCAGCGAGGCACGGAAGTACTCGACCGCCTTGAAGTGACTGCAGATGAATTGAACTGAAAAGAAATATTCACCCACATAGATGCAGTACTAGTAATCAAAGGAACGATACTAAAAAACAATATGTTGGACCGCCCGTAGTTGATACCCTTTTATTTCCGGATCAGTCTTAAAGATTTAAGGGTGTTTTAGAAAATCCAATGCGATGATTGAAGGATGTTTTAGACATTTTTAAGACAAATTTATCAAGCAATTTACGAACTATGTTGATAATTTAAAGGTCGATTGGTCGTTCTAAACCATTTTAACGTTCTAAAACTATTTTGGGTGCTAAAAGATTCAGACTATTTTGGCTTTTAAGGTGATGATCTGGGATCAAAATGTAAGCAAGTAAAAAGCACTAACACCGATACACGTCTTTATTGTGTCAAAGCAAGTGAAAGAATGACAACGACTGACACAAACCCAGGTAAAAGACCCCCTACCCTAATAAAATTGTTATGGTTATTTTCCTAAACGACGTATTCCAGGTAACATCCATACCATTTGTGGAATGGTTCTATGATTTGGGTTATCATCCGTTGATTGTATTTTTTTATTAGGTTATCTCTATCAACACCAAGTTAAGGGCCGAACACAATGGTAGCGGCATAGCGGCAATGGCAAATTTGCCAATACACTGAAATCCGGTGGACATTATTTTTTGCAATATTTTGGAAAAACGCGGTGCAGTTGATCGGCAGCCTGAGAAGTATTCAACATTTTCAGTTGTATTTTTTTGTAATTTTGAGTTAACCAGAACCTTCAAGACGTGACCCAAATAATCATCCAAGGTCGTAGTATGTGATGAGAACCATGCATCCGGACATATTTTGAGTACCCCCGGGGAACTGGCCAGATTCATCTTGAACCAACACCCACATGCGACACATCAAATTGGTGGCCATATTAAATACTGAAGACCACGTTGGTCAGGTCCGAACATGTTCAAGTGAAACTTGAACCTACATCCTCATGTGACACACCAAACTATAAGATAATTTTAAAAATAAGAACATTGGTGACCATTAGACTGATGCAACATTTGAAATTTTCGCTCCACAGTGCTCAAACGGTGCCAAATCGGGTCCTGATTAGCCTCCAAAAGTGAAAACTCATTTGATATGAAACTGACTTGGCACAAACCATTTCAAGTTTATATGGAAATTACTATGGGAAAACAAAACTTTTTGTTCATTGTTTTTTAGCCTTTCTGCATATTGTACTGTTAACAAATTCTATTGCTATTCTTATGGGAATTTTTATCAGCTACAACTTTGCAGAAAATCGTTTTTCAGCCATACGTCAAATTAAATAGTTATTAATTGTTTAAGAGATTGATAATCTTATGGCAAGATTGAGCAACTGTATCGTGGACAACACTGTATTCTGCAGTGTGACATAGTAGCCATGATTTTTGTCCTCTATTCTACGCGCCTAAACACCAATGTTGCCTGCTGAACAGTTGATTGAGCCTAATCATAAGACATCAGCGACTTGAATCATTAATAATTTTTGTGGTTTTCAACAAAGTTGTGGCTGAGAAAATTTTAAACAAGCTCAGCTATGATTTTTTAAAGTAGAGTGAACTGGTGAATTTTGAGATACATATGAATCGAAATTATGGTTTCTCCATATTAATTCCCATATAAACTTCAAATGGTTTGTGCTAAGTCAGTTTCTAACTAAATGAGTTCAAATCTTGGGAGGCTAATCAGGGCCCAATTTGGAACCATTTGAGCACTGTGGAGCGAAAATTTCAAATTTTGCATCAGTCTAGTGACCATACTAAGTACTCAGGACCACACTGGCCATACATATTCCGGGTGCTCCCGTGGAGTTTCACAAATTTCCCGAAATTTTCCTGAGGCCAATGGAACTTCTCTGGAGTTCTCAGAACTTCCCTGAAATTCTCTTGAGAACTACTCTGAAGTTCACCTCAGAACTGCTGTGCAGGTCTCCTCAGAACTACTTTGAAACTCTCCACAGAAATGCTCTGTCTCATAAGAACTAATTTGAAATTCTCCTCAGAATTTCTCTGAAGTTCTCCTCAGAACTACTTTGAAGTTCTCGTCAGAACTACTTTGAACTTCTCCTCAGAATTACTTTGAACTTCTCCTCAGAATTTCTCTGAAGTTCTCCTCAGAATTACTCTGAAGTTCTCCGCAGAACTAATTTCTCGTCAGAACTACTCTGAAGATCTCCTAAAAAGTACTCTAGATCTTCGGTGAAGTTTTCAACATTTTCCTGAAATTTGCGAAGTTATCCGAATATTCTCTTGAAGATCTTTAAACTTTCTCACTGGTCAGGACTTCCCTAAAGATATCTTTACCCCCCCAGATATTATTTTAACTTCTCCAAAGCTCTCGATATTTCCCCACGGTTCAAGCTACTTCTTCAAAATGCTCCCACATTTTTTTAAGTTAGTGCAAATTCAGAGACGATCACTGAATTTCGGCGAATTTCAAAGCCCCTTGCATATTTTTACATGGTTTCAGATTGATTAATTATTCAGAAGACATTTTACTGATCTTTCAGAGATTACACAAATAACAAATAACTCAAAACTGCGATCAAAATAAACCGTTTACGTGGTTTGTTTACTTTCAGCATGCGGCAACTCGGCAGCAGTACAGTGGTTAGCGCGATTTTAGTACATAGCGCGTTTGCCGCTGTGCCGCTATAGGGCCACCCACAACAGTCCGTCACCGTCACCGTCACCGTCAGCGTCAACGCATCCGTCATGTACTAAAAATGCTGACGGACGCATTGACTCAGTGCTTGCGCACAACCATGCGTCACGCGTTACGTTTTGACAGTAGCATAATCTCGTTTTGATCATTTGTTTTGGTAGAAGATTTAATATGTATTTAAAAAAAAAGTCTGTACATTCTGAATTTTGGAGGCGATTGGTGAATGGCGAGTTGGATTTGCCAGCACCGGGCAAGTTCCAAGGCTCAAATGAAGTGATGCCGTATTTCATTTTTGGGGTGCTGCATTTCCTCTTAAGAATAACTTGCTCCGGCCATATCCAGGTGTTGACCTACCTCCAATTCAAGACAACTTCAATCAACGGCTGTCCAGAGCCACGAGGGATGGTGATGGGAACGTAAGTGAACCTGGTGAATGGCGTACATTAGTTGTTCCTCTGAGATGTATTAACTCTGCGGCCCTTCAGAGAGACAACAATGCGACTCGATCTGCATACGTTAACCGAAATGTGTTGGCCAAACATGTATTCACACAATATTGCTTAAGGATATATAAAACAATGCAATAGTTTAAATTGTACACAAAGCTATTTCACTAGTTGTATTTTATTGAAAAAAAAAACACTGAAATTTGTTTGGGAATTGGGGTTGGCCCTTCTTACAAATGCAAATTCCTAATAACAATGTTTTCCATGATGTGTTCAAAGAAACACGGCACAACATACGCTTCTGATTACGCTGGTGTAACCAAACAGCAACATGACGCTGCGTCAATTTTGAAAATTTTCAAAATTTAGCATAGCGTCAGCGTTTTAGTACTGGCGCGCAGTGAGCGCAACGCATCTTTGTGGGTTGCTAAACTGAATAGCGTTGGCTCAAACCAAGCTGTCAGTTGACGCTGATGGTGACGGTGACGGTGACGGACTATTGTGGGTGGCCCTTATGTCTCTATGCCGCTGTCATTGTGTTCAGCCCTTTACAATTGCAGAATCAAAGTGACGATTGACTAACAGATGGCGAGTCGGTGAAAATGGTAATGACGTTTTAATATCTGTCAAATTGCATGACATTTTTTTTTTTTTAGTACATCATCATTTTTGTAATTGTGGATTTTATAACTAGGTGTCTCATAACCAGTTTTGGCTTTGCTTTGATTCGCCAATAGTCAAAATAAATGCGGGCGCACACTGAGGCAGGGATGCCAGATAGTTTCGTAAAATGTCGGTGTGAAAGCTAGTTTGAAGTTATCTGTATCAGGAAATTTGAAAAGTGAGAGTGGACGAGTCGATCGGGAGAAGCGCGAAAATTATTTCAAAGCAAGGTAGCAAATGCTCATTTGCATAATAGTTACACTGTGTTCACATTAAATGCGAAAGAGATGAAAATTTGAAACCTGCTCTAAGCTTCAATTCGCATCCTGGTCTGCGGGAGTTGGGCTGTATTGGTTCTGCAATTCCTGTCGCCTAAATTTTGAACCTGCCGTCTACGACCGTGAAAAAACAATTATGAAAGCTCTGCGAGAGCTGTTGATTCGAACGGATTCAATGGATACTCGGCTTGGAATCTATGGTGAAAATCTCCGCAGAATCAACAAGACTATTTACTTAGCCTTGACGATACTGCTGAAGATCCCATCAAGCGGTCAAGGTCCTGCGAAGAAACGTAATTTTTCGAGGTACTCGACGAAATCAACTGTACCATTGCTAAATCAGCGGAAAAATTCGTGATCGCATCCAACAAACGTGTGCACATACTTCCGAGCAAGCCGTCCACCACACCAGCAGTTGACAAAAACAACAACAACGCGCCACGTATCAATGGTCCGACACCATCCGCTCAAACTCAGCAATCAAATTCTCACACTGCTGCTGCCATCAGTTCGGATCCCAGTAACACTGACTCTCGCGTTGAAGATAACAGGTCTCACATCGATTCTGCTACTGAAGCTGGCGGCAACACCAGACCGTACCTGAGGGTTGCAACGAAAGATCAGACTGACAACGATATGCTATCCTTCTACGTGACCCCTTTCGCACCGGACCAGAATCAGAACGAGTTGTTACAACATGTTCACGACATCACCAATGTTGATCTGACTCAAGTGAAAGTCACCAAACTAGTCCCACGCGGAAAGAGTCTGAATGATCTTACATTCGTCTCTTTCAAAGTGACCGTACCCAAAACGGCATCGGAGGTTGTTGGTGATCCGTGGTATTGGCCTGAAGGGATAACTGTCCGCTTGTTCGAACCTAACCAAAAAAAAACGGAGCCGCAACGCATCATCAAAGATCTTCATAAATCGTCGC